ATTTGGTACCTAATTAAAATATTGTTTTAATATTTTAATGTACTTAATACCTATAGATGAAACACCAAACATGACGACGTGTTATGATACAACACAAAATATTTGTAATTTTATCTAGCAGTTTTTATTGCAAATATATACGTAAGTATAAACCATAAAAACGAATAAATATTATTTAATTTAAATTTATATTATAAAGAAAAACAAATTTTATTTAATTGTAAAATAAATATAGTATTTAATTCAATTAAACTAAATATAATACATGTCAAAAATAAATCCAGTATGCAGGTTGGGGGAGGAGGCAATATAAATATCAAATAATTGATTCCCAATTGTAATCAATTTACACAGTACCGTAATACTGATCGATTTCTAGTTGCACGTAGAACAACTTTCTAATTTCTATATTTACTATAATATTATATCCATCCCTTTAATGAACAAATCAGACAAATTATTAGTTATTACTTCAAACTCCTACTGTTTCATACGTTACTTTTTTATTATATAGTAAGAAACATCCAAGTTATTTTCATCAAACCTTGTATATGTGAATTTTTCGTCAGTTAATACTTTATTTTTTAAAAAAGCTGGCAACTTCGCACGTAGGTGGGACACTATTGTAGGTAAGAAATTGGGAAGGTAGTAGACGGGAATTTTAATATATATCTGTACATAACAATAAACCATTTCTAACGAAAAAACGATTCTAAGCGGAGTTCAGTTGATAGTGATTCTTTATATATTTTCTATAATAATATTTGTTTAATATTGTACCCATTATCTTGTTTTTCCCAGTTTTCCCGTGTTTTTTTCCGGTTTTTCCTATTTATTAGGAAAACTCCTGGGGAAATAAAAAATGACCTCCCTAAAGTACTTCCTCAGTCAGATTTATTTTAGAAAAAGGGCTATCATTGTAAATTGGAGGAAAATTGCTACAGTTAGAAAAGTTGTTCACAGGAAAAAATAAAAATAAAATAAAATAAACATCATTGTAAAACCAATACATTCCTCGTTCCGCTCAAATTCTAAAAAAAATCATCTAGATTCTCGACAGGTTTTTTTTTTTTTAAATATAAAATTTATGTCTATAATAAAAAAAGTTGGTGGCAAGTGCTTATTTTAATTTTTGGCAGTGCAAATTTGGGATTACGTTGTGTATAAAGTGTGTCATAGTGTACACATAGGCCCGGATTAACGTATAGGCGAGGTAGGTACGTACCTAGGGCTAGGCAATAACAGTGGTTATTTTTATTTCTAGAATTACGAAATAGCATCCTGATATTAAGCATATTAAAATGGAATAGTAACATAATAATTTTGAATTTTATAGGTTTATCATTTAGATGACTTTTCAATAGACTATTAACAAATATGTGCCTAGGTGTATGATTGGGTTTAATCCGGCCATATATACACAAAAATAGCCACTGGGATATATCCTAGATATACAGTAGATGCATATAGTAGATAATCTAAAATGTTGTCCCATCTAATTTTAATTTACCATGTATAACCAAGTTCACGTTTTTTCTATATTTTGTTCAGTACCTACTTCGCGGTGTCATTGTCCTGTCATTTGAATCGTAAACATTAATTACCACCATTGATAGCACCACATTTCAAAACAATCTAATCTCCGTTATTCTTTTGTACCTACAATTATTTAAGTTTCGCAGGTCCACACTCCATAAATATACTTTCAAAAACTTTAATCTCTTCGTCTGTACCTATAAAAACGCCTTGCTGTCAACATATTATATAATATTTATATGGTATATACTATATGTATAAATTAGAGGTTTTCTTTAAATTTTACGTACACTCTTAGTTTAGGTATACTCTTTGTTTGACTTTGACATCAACTATAACAATATGTATAATGGGTATATTATAATTTTATTTTTATTGTAGTGTATTTTGTTAATAAGTATAAAACGTATACTCGAAATTGACATTATTCGTCTACATCGTCAATATCTCGTCATTATCTCCAGTCGTTGTTACATATTAAAACTCGTATAATCGTCACCATAAGTTTTCTCTTAAAATCATAATAACGAGTTGTATTCAGTGATAATTACGAGCTCTAATATTCATAATAACGATTTGTGATAACCCATAATAACGTGATAATGAAAAAAAAAAAACACACATGGTCGGCCTTTCCGTACTTTCCAACTGATAATACTAGGCGCATCGTCGCCGTCATACTGATTGTATAACGTGATAACAATTCGCATAATCATCACCAGCCGTCGTCGGCACTTATCGCCGGTCGCGGTACACACCCGCCGAAGACACCGGGTCGCCACGGCGCGTTTACAATCTGCAAGACACCACCGGACCGACCACGTGGACGCAGGCATCGCCCACCATCCGCCAATAATTCCCGGACGAAGACCCAACGACCGCAGGTCCCTCAGTTATTCGGACGCAACAGCAGCAGCGCGGCAGCGGTCTAAGACGCGCGGTGCACCGGGCTAGCACCGGACTGAAACCTACACGTTCGGTTAGGTCCGGTCGCGTCTCTGCTCCGAAACTATTAGATTTTTGTCAATCTGAAATCCCGGGGCGTTTTAACGACTCCGTATACAAGCGTACCGGCTGCGAGGAGCACGTTAACTTTAAAAACCCGCGCACGTCGTCCGTACAAATGGCAAACAAGTGCACTTTCTGACAAGCCCGTTAGTCTGCGGCTCCTGTTGGAGTAAAGTGCACGAAACGCATAATATTGGAGTGTACCTGTTGTTTTTGTAAATGTTTCGCATATTTTCGAGGTATTATCAAATACCTCGTCAAGAATTCGTCCGCCAGCATAATAAATTTCGTTTTACACCTGTATTCGTTATAACCAAATTTTATTTATTTTTATTATAAATATTCCTTTTTATTTTTTTTTCCACTGCAATTTATCGTAACCTCTATTATATTTAGATTAGGTTGATTATTATTAACGTTTACAATGGTGTTTGGAGAGAGGGGGACGGAGGCAAAACCGTTTACAACAACGAAAATTAGTATTATGCATGGTATATATTTGATCGCGATGTACGAGAAAGAAAGCGCATACAATACCATACGGGGTTCGAGTAGAGAGGGGGGGGGTTGAGGGTAAACGACCCAATCGTCTCCCCTTTCCCTGGATCTGATACCGAAACTAATAAGATTGTACGGTGTGCCCCCGTTCCCAAGGACCTGCCCGCGGGTACGGGAGTCCGAAAAGCGTGCGCAATGAAAACGCAAAAGTTTCGGTTACCCGTCGGAATTGTTACTTACGCGATACGCGTTTGTAATTAATCGATTGGGTCAGGTGCGGCACACGCTTCATGAATGTGTGCGGCGTTTCTTAATGGAAAATTATTACATTAGCAACTTTGTTATGCGCGAGCGTTGTCGATAAGCAACAACGCTATACACTACTGAAACGCATCGTTTTAATTACGGTATACCGAACACCTAAAACACGAATAATTAACGCCGATAAATCGGTCTGGACGGATTAGCATATCGTTAACCCGTATATGAACAAAACGAAAAGTATAAAACTACGGTCGGTATAGGTCTCGCGACGGTACATCGGTACACACGTAGTACCGTAAGTTTCGGGGTCGGCGGAGGGGAAGGTTTAAATGGCGATTTGCAGTGACATTACAGTAACCCTAACCCGTTATACTTTTTCGAACGATTGAATAACTAAAAAGGGAAATGGAGAGGACTCGCTCGGACTTGTAGCGTTTTTTTTTTTGTTTTAAAGCGTTATTGCAATGGGGACGGTTTCAATTATTTCGTAGAGGACTTTTTTTTTTTTTATTTTCATAGTTTTATAGGTTCAAACGAATCGAGCAAAATGGTGTAATTCTTTTTCAAAACAGAAATAATATAACACGGATCCCGAGCCACCGTCGTAATATATAAGTATTTTCGACATTTTGTCGGAATACAACAATAACACTAATATTATGTATTGGACACGGTCGCGTAATAATGATAAGAGGAAGAAAAAAACTTTGTGATACTGTGACGAGCGTATCGCAGACAGGCAGGCAGGCAGGCAGGTAATAATAATAAAGTAGTGGAAAAAAAAAATACAAAATAATAATAATATTCCGTGTTACGTCGCGTCGTCGCCGTGGAAAATAATATAATGTAAAATCCACGGTTGTCGAGGAATCTGGTATATTTTTTTTTCCCCGACGTACCCGGGACGACGTCACGGTCTTCTCCTCAATACACCACGTACCGTGCGGCGGACGTCCACCATTCACCATTGTGCGCCGGCCGTTTTTCCCGATACACCATTATTATTATCATTATTGTGTGCGCGTATGTACGTACAATACACGCGCATAATAATAATAATAATAATAATAATATATTTTATATTTTTTTTTTTCCTTCTACATTCCCATCAAAAATATTTCTTTAACGCGACGACAGTGCAGACCCTCCGCCGCCTGCGCGGCGGCGTACGGTGCGCGCGCGCGACAACAATACCGACGCGACGCGGTGCTACAACAGCTACCCGCGTCGCGGGGCGGCGGAGGCAGCGCAAGACGCACACGAAAATCGTACGTTATCATTATCATTATTATAACATACCGAAAAACACAATGACTGCCGCCCGTGTATAATAATAATAATAATAATAATAATAATAATAATAATAATAATACGCGCGCACACGGAATACCGACTACGGTGGCGGGCACACCGGGCCCGGGGTGTCGGCCGCGCGGGCGGGAGGAGGAATCCCACGTCGAGCCGACACCAAGTCTGGTACGTCGAGCGCGAGCGGCGTTCACGCACGCGGCGCGCGCGACGACAAACCGCTTCCTCCCGCCCCAGCCCCGGCCGCCCTCTCACCGCCATGCCATCCTCGCCCTCTCCGCCGCCGCGAACGCCCTCTCGGCGTCCGCAGCCAAGGCGGCTGCGGTGCCCGTTACGCCGCGGCCGACGACCGGCCGCGCGCCGATTGGCCCGACCGCATTCCCTCCAGACACCTCCGGTTCCACCGCAGCCGCCGCCGCCGCGCATCTTGTTGTTGTGTCCGTTCGTCGCACTCGCGCGCTACACAAAATAAAAATATACGTTCAAATACGTTTCGTTGTTTACCACGCGCACACGCACGCCGAGCGGTTGTCCTCCCGTACCACTCTGCGAATCTCTGATAGCGGGCGGCCCGCGAAAGAGCGAGCTGATATACCGCGAGCGCGCGTACGTATTATTTTCCGGTGATAATAATAATCGCGTGTGTCGACCGCGGATTGTACATCGTGTCGTTCTCGCGTTGGCGTTGCGTTCAATTCGTTTTGTCGGGGTACCCGGGTTCGACGCGGAGACTGGCAGTTTGTTGTTCGCGCGAACGGCGGACCGCCGATCGATATTCCGTCGCCGCCGTTGATGCTGCCCGGCTCATCCGAGTGTGTGCGATCGTCGTCCTCGTCCCCTCTGTCGTCACGTCCTGCTCCGCCGTCACTGTAAATGGTAATGTTCGCGAAATGTCGCAATCGATATTGTATATATATACACACACACACACACACACACACATATACACGTACGTGTACTATGTTATTGTGCGTAAATCTATGACCTCGGACGTGTCGATTATTTTGCTCTTCATAGATAATAATATCATATATATATAATATTATTATAATGTCGTTGAAACAAATTATTTTAATCGTTCGACGTCATTTGTTGTCATAAAATTACGTACATCAATATTTACATATAAGTAATAATGTATATAGTCTCGACGGTCGCCGTTATGATGCGACCGTGTCTGACTACAATCTGTTATTAGCTTTCAATCGTTTTAATATTAACATGTTATTAATCATCGTTTACGGTTTTTTTTTTAATTTGACAGTTATGAAAATATGGTAACGTAGCGTAAGACCCTCAATAGTCCTCATCATGTTTGTCACAACGGAAATTCATCGAGTCTGGATAGTATTGGCTACTGTAATCGCAGGTAACGATGATTTTGTAGTATTTATTTTTTATTTTATAACAATGTCGGTTAGGATATTGCCCGTTGGAATCGTGTGCTCTTATTACATTATTTTGTTAATACATTCACTCGCAATCGATTCCACATAGTTTCAGAATTATAGATACGTTAGAAATTTGATAGGTACCTATACTATATTTTGTAGCTGTGGATATTATTAATACTTGAATAATACTGTTTTTAATTCATAAATTAGGCATTTGGGAATTTTTAATGAGTGCCTACTCATTAAAAACAACAAGTTTATCACTAAAAATATCTGAAACAATCCAAAATAAGTATTTGAATAACTTTACCAAAATAGAATAGAATAGTTAAAAATATGAAATACAATACATAAGCGATAAATATATTATTGAAACTGCCTTAAAAAAATAATGGTGAAAATGAAATAGTTTATGAATCTAGATTTTATAGATCTATTAGTTATTTGTGATCAAATTAAATAAATACTGACATATATACATGTATATTTATATATTTCTGTTCTTTTTAGTATGCACCTGCGTTCCAATTTCATGTCCACAAGAGTCATGCTCTTTACCCGATGGCATAGACCATCAGTGTAAAGATTTAGATGCTTATCTTAAGTGTATGAAATCATTATCAAAAAAATGTCGTGGTGAGATTGGATATCATTCTGCTCTCACAGTATCAACTTCAGAATATAAAAAGAAATGTAACTACGATTCATTCAAAAATAATAATAGTGATCATTATAACCAGTCAATGATATCTCATAACGAGAATGAATGTCCATTGTCATTCGACGATAAAAAGGAACATAAGTTTTGTGGTTTATTTGGTGATCCTCATTTAAGGACATTTGATGGCAAGTATCAAACTTGCTTGATTCGTGGAGCGTGGCAAGTGGTAGAGAATTTATTTTTTGGAATTATGGTAACCAATGATGCTATTTTGAATAGTGACTCAGCAACCGCTCCAACAAAGGTATTTAATTAATTTCAAAAACGCTAAAAAACTTATTTTTAATTACAGCAATGTAATATTTTCAGTTAACAGTCATATTAAAAGAACACCCAAAGTGTACTCATCAAAAACTTTATGAAGCTCAAGGTGATATTCATTTGCCAGGTGCATTTGGAGATGGCACCACTTCATCTGGACCAGCTTCATCACCAAGTGTTTCTCTTTCCTGGAGATCCAATGATCCCTCCAGTGAGACTGTGATTATAAGGTTATCGTACATTTCTACGATAATAACTGTAACCCGTGTTGGCAAATATCTATCCATTTCTACAAAATTACCCAATCAGCTAGCACAACCATCTAATCCAAGCAATGACAAAAATGAATTATGTTCTTCTGGCTGTCCTGTTTCTGAACAGATAGACATTGAACAAGTTCCGCGTAATGAATTGGATCGCATGTTAACTTTATGTCATAATAGCATTGGGCCTATGGGGCACAAGCTGACTGATCAGTATTTAGATTGGTGCATTTATGACATGATGACTTCTCGTGACGAACAATTCATAAATGCTTCACACGCAGCATACTCAGATGTTTTATTTTTTGAACCTCGTTCACTGTTTAACAGAACAGTTAGTATATTTGAGTTCAATCCTAAATCAACAGATGACATTAACCCCAAATCAACAGCTGATGCTAGTTGTATACATAGATTGAATTTATCTGTTGTAATTGTCATTGCAATGTTCCTAATATCATAGTTTAAGAATTTATTATTCTTCCACTCCTGAAAAAAAAATTGTATTTCAATATAATTTATTGTAGATTTTAAGTTTTCTCTCAATATTTTTCAAATAAAATAATTTTTTGTATATACTTATTTTAAGGTTAAGACAATTGGTTGAATAACTTCATTTAAATTTTCATTTTATACATAGAGATTTACATTTTATGTTTTGCACTAGTTTTTTTGTAAATGTTTCCATAAAATACATTTTTTTCTTAATTTTGATAGGAACAAGAAATTAATTTTATGCATATTATTTTTTTTTGATATTAGTTCACCATTTATTTTAAACAAATTATTTCAGTCAACTGTATTAAAACCATGATCTTAAAATGTTTATAAAGTAGTTAATATTTATATTAAAAAGTTCATTTTTAATATTGTTTACATTTTATCTGGAAAAATGATTGTAATAATATAATTATTATTTTAGTTAATATTCTAAGGTGTTCAAACTAATTGTGTGTTTCAGTAAATGTTACCCATCAGTGATGCTGAACTATAATATCTGTGAATTTAAACGGGTTGGTGAGATAGAAATTGTATTTTTGATGGATAATATGGTCTTTATTATAATTTAGCCCAGTTGCTATTAATAAACTATTCATAAATACACTAAGTTTGTGGGTTAGACTTTTTTGTGTATGTCTTAACAACCCATTTTAAATCAAGCTCAGCACCACTGGTTACCACCGAACTATTTTATAAATCACTGTAAAAAGAAAACAATCATAGGTAACCGTAAATATAATTTATTTAGTACAATATGTCTGATCCTAGTCTGAATCTTGTGATTTTATTTATATGTAATTTTAATTTATTAATAAGTATATTTATTATTTATTGTGTTTAGTTTTTGTAGGTGTTTCAGTACATTTTTGTGGGTGACGTGATTATAGGCCAATAGTATGTCAATTATTTTTTTACATTATGCTCATTGCTCATATATTATATTAATATTATGTACTTTTTTACAAATATTATAATCATAGGTAAATTATCCATATACATATAGTACTTACCTGTGAACAAAATTTGGTGACATTTTTTTATGAATCAATCATGATTATGCATATTATTTTATAAATATTTTATATGTATTATAGTGGTAATGCATACAGTATTATTATATTTATTATTATTATGTATTTGTAACAGTATTTTGATTAATACAGAAAATACTGCCAAATATTAAGATAATTAATTTTATGTATTATTATTATTTTTTTAGTTTTATAAATAAGTTGATCTTTTATTATGAACAAATCTCGTATGTAACAAAAATATATTTATTTTTATATTAATTATATCTTAGTGATTAATTATATTTATGTATAAATGCATAGTAAAATGCCAGTTATGTGGTCAATAATTTCTTTTTTCTTTTAACCCTGCATAGGATTGCCTTAATAAGACTTGTAGTCGTGTGGATTACCGTTGTAATCCAATTTGTATGGGTTTTATATGTATATATTGACAATTATAATTCCAATTATATACTAAGTACACATTGAGATAAAGAGAAATATTTTATTTTTATTTTTCACATCAGAATATCAATTTATACTTAAATGTTATTAAATGTTTATTATATTTCTTTACAAACATATTAATATATTAGTATTTTATGTATACCTTACCCCTCAATATTAAAAATTACAAAAAAAAGAGCACTTTATAATTTTTTACATGTTAAATCTTTAAATCATTTAAAAACAAAATATATTTTGATTCTTATATAGTTGATTCTTCACTCTGTTGTTGATCATAACACTCAATACAAATATATTTCAAATGATCTTGGCATATCCATTTGAAACAACGTTTACATGATCTCCTTGTACTTTTGTTACTTGCTCTTCCACACAAATAATATCGACCGATTCCCTTAGGACGTTCACACAAACGAGGTTAATTTTCAACGAGGCCTAATATTTTTACACCACGACATATACTTATGAGTTTTGGTAATTTTAAATTTTGAATACGCTTTTCAATATTCGGTTTCATTAACTCTAAAGCTTAGGTTTCCAAAAAGTTAGATCTTTTGTCGATATTGTTAAAAGTATATACATTTAAAGCAATACTTGTGCGTGAAAGATCGCGTAGCATACAATGGTAATCCAACGCACTTAGAACACAAACGACGACAAATTCTACAAAAACGGTATTCGATAACGAACTAATTATATTTAGCAACATGTCAGTCGAAGGTACTGAAAAGATAAGATGACTCCCGTGATTTCCAAACTACAATAAATACATTTATTTTTGGATGGATTACAATGGTAATCCGCGCGACCCATGCATGGTTAAATATATTTTATAACATTTTTGTAAATAAACAGTACCATAATATTGGGTAGGAAATAGTTGTGGAAAAACATATTGGATTGTAGTGTACCTACAATTAAATACATTGTAACGTCCAAAAACGACCATTTCCCGTTATCAAAGGACAAGTATACCTACCGTCGATATGGTCGACCGGTTAATAGATTATGCTTGCATCGACGGATACGTTATGTCACTATGAACAATAATTTCCCCCCCCCCGCGCAAAGGTTTATGCGATCGCAATCTGTTACAGTTCGCAATAATATTATATTTCTGATTACGGGTTAATGGCCAATCATATCACGTTATCCCTTATCGCAAAAAACGTCGGCCCGCGGCGACGTGCCACAAACGTCTCCGCGCTCCGTTACCCAGTTGTTCTTTAGTTATTTTCCTTCTTCGCGTATAGACCTCGTCTCGTGATTTCTGTCACCAGACGGTCTTTAGATACAGTTCTCTTAATAAAATACTCACGTAAATTACACGGATTCACCAAATTTTGCCGCCAAGAAAAGGTCGTGTACCTTGGCACGATTCATGATGGTGCCTCGAACAAATCAATGAAGTGAGTCCCGATCTGGGTCGCTGGGCGGACATCTTCGAGAGAACGATAGTGATATGTATGTAATTTAGTAATTGGCCGACATCCCGTTAGTTAATTTGATTTTAGGGTAATTTAATTAATGTTTCTCCGTATAAAATACGTTTATATAAAATGTTTTCTTTTTCGTATAGTAAATACTTCCGATTCAGATTTGGACGCACCCCGCAGGTTCACCCGTAGGGCCACTGAGACTACGGACCATTCAAGATGAAACAAAAAGCGTTTCTGCTACCCTTCCCGGTGGTAATCTGTGTGACCTGGCAACCGCACAGTCCTGCCCGGGTCTCCCCCAATACATAAGGTGCCCATTTCGTCAACATTTGATTTTAACTTTTATAAAAAATAAATATATTACGTAACACTGAATTTTTTTTTTTTGGACCACTAAGTACGACTCATAATGTACCTCCTGTCACATTTTTAAACATTACTGTTTAGTCTAATAATTTTATACACAGAGTACCTGCCAAATCAAAAATAACATAAAGAACTCGCAAAATTAAAATGTCTAAATAGCTCAAAAATGGTTCAAATGTTTTGAAAGTTTTACCATATTTAGAAAAAGTAAATATACGTATATAAATTTAAAATAATGCTTTTTCTGCGTATTTTTCTATTTTGCTCAATTTTTTTTATTAAAAATCTACAAACGAAATCAAAAGAACGACTTTCTTGGTTACCTACCAACTTGATTAAAATGCATCAAAAAAGGTCTTTTGTTGTTTTTTATTGGAGAAATATATTTGTAGAAAATATAAGTCACACAAATTTAAAATAAAAGAATCCTAGCCGCAGTAATTTGAAAAAAATCGTATTTCTGTGATTTTTCCCAATTATTATGAAAAATACTTCAGATATCAAAAAACGACTTTCTCCGTCAGTGACTATGTGTTAAAAGAATCAAAATCGACCCTCTGTAATTTTTCGATTCGAGCAATATTTTTGGCAAGTAGTAGAAAATACAAGTTGTACAAAAACAATGAAAACGGTGGCGCCGTGGCACGCCGTAAATATTTTCCGATTCAACTATAATTGAATATAATACCTAATTTGGATTTTCCAAATTATTTCGAAAACCCTTGGAAAATCAAAAAATAACGTTTCCTATGTACAAACTATAGAAAATTACCTTTCAGAAAAGGTGCTGCACCTGATACTTCGGAGCATGTCTTCAGGTAGAAAAGTTGCTCACAGACACAAAAGAATCACACATCATGGTAAAACCAATTGATCCCTCGCTACGCTCTGAATTTTATAATTAAATAAAAGATTTTTACGGAACGCACGAATCGCGTCAGTGCGTAATGCGTGTGTCGAGTTTACGGCGGTCATGTCGATATCAACTGTATTTTGGCGCACTCGTTCATAAAATTAGGTGCGGGCAACCCACACTGTCCGGATGTCGCGGATTTCTTCGGTACCGTTTTCTTAACCGGAGGCCACGACGAGGCGCCTACTACTATTACCTGGCCGTGGGACGTCGGTAGGATTACCAACTTTTAGCTTCAGGAATACCGGCCACGAGGAGCCGAATAAAATTAATTTTTTTTTTTTTCTAAAAATCGGTTTTCAATTATTAATTAATTTAATCAATAGAACTCGACATTTAATATTAATTCTAGACAGGTTTGAAGTTGGTTTTTATAAAAACTGATATATACTACTCCGCACGATTGATAGACCACTGTTGTGAGAAGTTGGGAATAGGTATGATATAGAGGGGAATTCAATGTATCTATACATCTGTATACGCTAACGAAAACCGATCTGGGCTGCGGCGTTCGGTTGCACACGTTTTGAAAGGCCGTGTTATTTACAATGTACGTCGAATTTTGATTCATACAAAAAAAATTCTACTTTACACTAAATTTTTATTATTATTTTTTTTTTTTACCACAAAGTACGACTAAAAATGATTCTCCTGTTAAATGTTCAAGCATTTCTGTTTGATCTATCAGTTTTAAGTCTATGAATATTTTTAATTGAATTATAACAAATTAATAAAAAAATTGAAAAATAATAAAAGCATAATTTTCGTAAAATTATCGTTTTTCTTACGTTTTATCCTCGTTTTTTTTAGATATTGTGAAAACCGCTTGGAGAATCAAAAAATGACCCCCCAAAAGTACCACCTGGATAACGTTTTCTTTCAGAAATGGTGCCTCGTGTATAATTATATGAGCAAGATTACTGGTTGAATTTTTGTTTACAGTAAAAAAATAAAATAAACATCATTGTAAAACCAATACATTCTCATGTATCAGGGAATTCACGGCAATTCCTATTTAAATGGTTTTAGATTACACAATACGGGAGATAAACCGTGTTGTATTTGCTGTAAATTAGTAATTTATAAATATTCTGTTTGGGGATTTTAGTTTTGATTAAACTACGTAGGTATCTGATTTTACGTTTCGGATTCCCTGGGTTTATCTAATTTGGACAAATACTATACGTTCATTGTAAAAATGTACTGCAGTATTGTTCACTAAAATCAGGTGCGTTTAAAAAAAAAATTATTTCGCTGGAGGTGTGGGGGAGGGGTTAAGGTTGTTTTTCATTAAAAATGTCAATATTTTATGACATTTTTTTTTAGCCTTTTAGGTAACTATTACTAAATTTTACATTTAATAATTTTTTAGTGAATACAGCCTAAATGATAACGTAATTCATATTATTGTGATAATTATGTGGACTATGTAATGTATGCTGTATCAGTTATGATTTCCTAAAATCAGGAAAATCACAAACAATTAGAAATTACAATAACAATATAACATATTTATTATGTAGTAATAAAATAAAAAAATTGTATTTATTTTCCTCATTGACAGAGACCACTGTAGAAATTCTATTAAAAATCTACTTTCATCATATTTATCACGGAATTTCGGGGGGAGGGGGGTTTGAACCAACCAGTATTTATCGGAATTGTACACATTGTTCCAAAAGTCTTACCCGGAAAAGGCGGTACGCAGGAAAAATGTGCAACTCCAAACTGTACACGGACGGGGGTAAAACTACAAAAACTAAATTGAAAAGTAAAATACTTGACACTACAAGTCGGAACGACACCCGAGGCAATTTTCGTAACGTAGTAACGAATTATAAATCGCAATAGAAATGATAAATTCAAATAAACTATAGTTATACAAGAACTAAAATTAACTAAGATCGAGTTTTCGTATCTACCTATTGAAGTTTGTTTAACGGCGCGATCGATTTCTGTAATACAGACCAGTGTCCCAAATTCGGCGCACTTGACGAACACCGTCCCCGGGGGCCTCTTTTTCACGAGTTTTGCATCGCGTCCAAATTTAAAACAACAAATCGCCTATGGGCACAATGTCCGTGTAATTATTATTATTAAACTAAGTCCATAACTCGTCATAATATTATTACAATATCATGTTAATTCAGCGCGTGAGTGTGACGGATAAAAGAAACGCGTTATACAGAGTGAACCATTTGTTTTCTCGGAAGATTTGAAGTGAATTATATTTGTTTTTTTTTTCTAGTTCTAGTCATTAACCATTAGAGAATACTATATTGATTAAATCGATTTAAGCACTATTAAAACAAATTCATAAACGTATTAAAAAAAAAAAAAATAAATAAATAAAAAATATCTCACCGAATAATGTTATTAACTAGATAGTATGAAAAATATCAAAATAATATGTCTAACAAATTCGCTAAAATGCTGTACAATAATACAAATAATGTGAAAATCGCTTTTAAGACTAATAATAATTTAATCAGACATATAAACAAATAGAACTAAAAACTTCACAAAAAATCCCTCTTCTTTGGAAAATGCTGGTTCCTCGATGAATAGAATAAAGTCTTCATTTGAGCTTATATATCCCCCTTCTTTTGAAAATGCTGGTTTATATATAAACTTTAATGTAACTGTAATCGGTGGTTGAATTGGGGGGGGGGCGCTTGGGAACGGAGCTACTCTTCATTTGTCTTCATATTATAGCGCACCCCTTTATTCTATTCATCGAGAAACGCGGGGGTACGCAGCGTTCATCGACGTTTTTACGCATATCAATTTGTTTCTTAGAAAAAATTAAATAAATATACGAACAAAAATTGGAAATTATTAATATTTAATTTAATTTTTGGTATTATTTCTTATTCATTGATTGGCACATACATTGTAAACGCAATAATAAAATACCACCTGTACAATATACTATAACACGTTTCAAACGTTTATACCGCGTACTAATCCGCGGTATAAACTGCTAAAGTGATAAAAATACATGCGATCAAATAATTTCGAGAATTCGTCTGTTGTTTTTGTTATCTATGAAAATTGAATATTATTTATATTTAATTTCGAAACAGGGCCCGCCATTAATCGGTATTACGTCTGCTTGTCGTGGTTGTAACCTGCGAGTTGTGATTTAGTTGACTATAATAGTAGGCTATCCGGTATGAACCGCATTCGTGCGCGTCTGTATGTTAAACTACCTAAGCACCTATACTTTATTTTATAAATATTCATAAATTATATGTACCTATGATGAATAAACGTCAAAAATTGTCCATATCCGACTTTTTCAAGAAAACAATAAAAAAACGATTAAGGTAATTGAAACATTTAAATTTAATAATAATTCTAATGATCGCTATAATACATCATTAGTGTGAGAAAAATAATATTTACAATTAATGTACTAATTTAATATTTATATCTATAGATAATGACCAATCAATATGACGTCGATGATCCATGTATCCCAAAGACAGGTACGTGATAAGATTAAAATGTTTACCTATTATTTAATTATAATAACAATAATATTAATACCTAAAATCTAATTATAAATATTTAATCTAGTACACCTATAAAACTTGCAATATGTACAATTTTTGATTTCGTTTGTAGATTTTTAATAAAAAAAATTGAGCAAAATAGAAAAATACGTAGAAAAAGCGTTATTTTAAATTTATATACGTATATTTACATTTTCTAGATATGGTAAAACTTTCAAAATATTTGAACCATTTTTGAGCTATTTAGACATTTTAATTTTGCGAATTCTTTACGTTATTTTTTATTTGGCAGGTACTTTTTGTATAAAATTATTAGACTAAACAGAAATGTTTGAAAATGTGACAGGTGGTATATTATAAGTCGTACTTAGTGGTCCAAAAAAAAAATTCAGTGTTATGTAATATATTTATTTTTTATAAATGTTAAAATCAAATGTTGATGAAAATTTTAAATATTATGGACTTTCAAATACTGTTATTAACAGCAATAGTGTCTTCATTATTAACTTAAATACTTTTAAAAAGAACCTAATTCCTGTATAGGTAATTTGTAAAAGAAAGTTTATATTTTATAATTATCTCACATGCATCATGGTAACAAACAAAATTTAAAAATACAGAGATTG